TAATTTAATTAACACCTGATTTTTGATAAAATAAACGTTACACCTGATTTTTGAATTTCAAAACTTAAATAACTGGATTTAGGTAATTTTCTCTTTCCACATTTAAGAATGGGTCGAAAGTAACTATGTATGGTATGGGCCCATAGGATAATGTGTATAAACTTAAAAGCATGATTTAAATATATTTTTAAAATTAAAAATACATGATTTCTGAATAAAATAAGTTATTATTTGATTTTATAAAATAAAAAATTAAAAGTAAGATTTTATTAAGTATTTAATTAACCAAAAAAAAAAAGTACATCTTTATTAATAACAAATTAATTCTTAAACAAAACTATTAAATATAAATTAGGCAAACGTGCATTGCACGTTGCTTGCACCTAGTAAACTTAAAAGCATGATTTAAATATATTCTTAAAATTAAAAATACATGATTTCTGAATAAAATAAGTTATTATTTGATTTTATATAATAAAAAATTAAAAGTAAGATTTTCTCTAATTTTCTTATGATTTTTTTCCTTTGAAGATAAATAATCGATTTCCTATAACGGAACAAATTATCATCGTTTTAGTTCATTTGTAAGAATCAAATTATATTGTGTTCGTCCTATTGTTTTTTATTTTGTCCAAGTCTGAAAAAATGGCCAACCACAATTTCGAGGGACGGATGATAAAATTGATCAATTTTCGAACTTCATGATCAAATTCAAATTTCAATCACAAATCTAAAATTAGATTAGATATTCATAGATCTTTCATTTAGAAGTTTAAATTCAAGTAAAGTTGTCGAAGTTCTAGATGTCTGACTCCTATTTGACTTGACCATGTAAGAGGAGGATCGTACCAAACCCAATCTCTTCGATCTCACACTTCTCACAAACTGATTCAGACAATTTTTATTTTCAAAAGAAAAAAGTCGACAAAATCATTTCTAAAAAAAAAAATTTGGCCCAGTGGCCAACAGGCTAACACCAATATAGCTTGACCACCTCTATGCCTAGTTGGTAGTTAACCGAGTCCTAGTCCAAAATTGCAAGAACTGTTAGCGGTACTCCAGTTTCTCCCTGGTCAAGATTGAACGTAACCCCACAAAATCTCATTTCCACCATTGATTCATCAAACTGAAAACTCAACCGAAAACTAGTGATTCTACCGTAAAATATCGTTAGTACCTTGGAAATTTTCTTGCAAATTGCTAGCTTTCCAAGAAAAAATTCACAAATATACAGAGATAAGAAGAGGAAATGTGGGTTGCTCCTTCAATTTCTCGCCTTCACTCTCAATTCCTGTACTGCCCTTTAAAGCTCTCTTCTGCTACTTCTTCTTCGTCTCTTTCCCATAAATCCCTTAAAACTCAAAGGGCACCAGCTTATTATCCATGTGTTAGAGCTGTTGATCTTGACCAAAACACGGTGATATAACTCATTCTCTTAATTTAAGTTTCTTGTTATTCAAACCTGACAATGTATTTACTGATAATGCAATTCAGCTTCTGCCCTTCATTTAAGATCTTTTTTCTGTTCATTTTCTGTGTTTCTTGATGTTCTAATTTGATCAGACTTTTTATTGATAATGCAATTCAGCTTATACCCTTCAATTAAGCACTTTTTCTGCTATTTTTATGAATTGGTTGATGTTTTGATTTGATTATTTTTTGTTGTTGATAATGCAATTCAATTTATTCCCTTTAGTTAAGTTATTTTTTCTATTAATTTTCTAAGTTTGTCTTTCGGATAAAAAGTATTTATTGACAATGAGTTCTGTTGGGTTTAGGCTTACAATGTCAAAAGAAACAATTTTGAGACTTAAACCAAATAAAGATTGGATCTTTGAACTCCCTTAAGCTGATGGGATTTTATTTATGAATCTTCACCTGAAAAGCTTAAGGATTTACCATTGTAGCGAGCTCTATTGGCCCTTCTCACCAAGCTAGCAATCCTTCTTCCACCCTTTTAGCTTTGAGTAATGTTATTTATCCTCACTGGGGTTACAAACACAGTATAGGTGTAGTTAATGTGACATTAAACGATATGTTAATTTCAAAATGCCACATTAACCACCTATCATTTAGATGCCCTTTGGAAAAGATGAAACTGGCCACCTTGGCAAAACCGCTCTTAGATTTCTTACTACTTTTAACCTATCGTTTAATGCCACATTAACCACCTATCATTTAGATGCCCTTTGGAAAAGATGAAACTGGCCACCTTGGCAAAACCCCTCTTAGATTTCTTACTACTTTTGGAAATATGCTATCTTGGAGAATATTTATAAAGAAACCTAGCCTCCTTTCCCACATTCCATCAATTAGGTGCTCATTCATTTCAATTTTCTTGGTTTCTTGATGTTTTCATTTGATTAAGTGTATTTACCGATAATGCTATCCATCTAATACCCTTCATTTAAAGTTCTTTGTTCCGTTAAGTTTTTGAGTTCCTTGATTTTTAATTTTGATCAAATGTTTTTGACCGATAGTGCAATTCAACTTACTCCCTTCGTTTAATTTCTTTGTTTTTTTCTGTTAATTATCTGGGTTTCTTGGTATTCTAATTTGGTCAAATGTGTTTACCAATAATGAAATCCAAATCACTCACCTCATCTAAGTGTGCTGTTTTTGTTAAGTTCCGAGTTTCTTCTAATTTGATCAAGTGTTTTTACTGATAATGAATTCGCAGATTGTGGCAATAACTGTTGGGGTGGTGAGCGTTGCCGTTGGGATTGGAATTCCTGTTTTCTATGAAAACCAGATAGACAGCGCTGTAAGCTTTTAACCCCACACACAAAGAAAAAACTCAAACAGTTGGCTTCTCTTTAGCAATTAACACAACATAATCTTATTCTTTTTTTTTTTTTGAAAAGAATATTTCAATTTTTATGGTGGGGTGTGGAGAGTTGTATATTTATTTGCAAAAGATTGGATTTCTGAGTCCATTTTGTGTATTATTAATACTGTTTCAGGCCAAAAGAGAAAATACTCAGCCCTGCTTCCCTTGCAGCGGCAGTGGTGCTCGTAAGTGATTCACTTCCTTCTCTGCCATTGTTTTACCCTATGATGCACAAAACAAAACTTCGAAAAGGCAAATGTTAAAATTAGACCTATTTGTCTTATTGCATTGAACTTCATTTTTGGATATAGATTTCCGCGTCTTACTGTGTTGCATTTTCTGGTTTTGTTTCGGTTTTACCATATTTTGGTTTGTCTTCTAAACATGCAAACAATATATACACTAAGGCTCAATGGAAAGAATGAACCTACATATGAGTAGGTTAAAAAAACCATCTGGGGCAGCGCAACTCGGGGGAGGACAGGGGCGGGTTTAGGATGCCGTCCGTAATTGAGATTCATATTTATGCATGGTAATATTGGTGTATGAAATAACTATTCTCTTACCTTCGAGCTTGAGTTCTTAAATATATTTTCCAATGTTCCAAAATAATATGATTTATTTTATAATTTTAACTTATTTTTATCTTGTATAGAAAGAAAGCATACTCAATTGTGTACCCACTCTCTTCTATGTTTAAGAAAATCAAATCGAACTCGTGAGCTCGAGGCCTCAATTCCCTTTAGATGTCAAAATTTTCCAATTCCAAACTACGTAGAGCATTTTTTCGTTAAGCTTAAGAAGTTTGCTTATAGTGAAATAAGTATTTTTTAGAATAGTAATTTTTTATTTGTCAAATTTGGAAATAAGTTAGTTACTTTTTTAATAGTAAGGTAAAGTTTCAGAATAAGTAACCTTTTTTCTTAGAAGTAAGAAAAAGTAACATATTCAAATATAAAGGTTGTACCCCAGTTTTGAGGGCCCCACCCCATTCCAGCCCCGTCCCGTCCCTAGAGCATTGTGAAGGAGGTAAATCATTGGATGTGCCTCATCAGGCCGGGGTACAAGAAATGTCATACTGGTGTACACAAAGAGTCCAATTCCATACCTTATAGAAGGCAGGAATCGAACCCTTACACTGCGGCTATCTCGCTCATGTCCTTTGCACCATTGAGTGATTGAGCTATGCCCCTGGGGGCAACATATCCAAATATGTTTGGAAACAAAGTAACTTTCACCTTTTAAGCATATCCAAACATTCTCTATCACATTCAATAATAGGTGTCATTTTCTGTATTATTGGTGCGGAGTGAAAGAAAAGTTTTCTATTTCATGCAAATACTTCTGATTGAAACAAATATCTTTTTCAAGTTTGCAATACGTTGTCTTCCATGCGCTTCTATTTGTTTTGTCTCCACTGTGAGCATTGAATTTCTGTGTGGAAATTAGTTTGCACCATTTTGTTTTAAATAAGGTTTAAATCTGGCTATAATGGCCCCCTTCTTGTAACAAGTAATGTTAAGATAACTTCCTTTTCTCATAGCTCAAATCACTGGATCCTCCTATCTAGCGCAATAAAAAGATAGGTTGATATTACTCATAATTGCATCCTCCTATCTAGTGCAAGAAAAAGACAGGTTGATATTACTCGACCACAAAACAGAGAGAGAAAGGAAAGTTGAAATTAATACTTATAATGATTTATATAAAGACAACAACGGTCCATCAAGGAGGATGGGATCATATATCTAACCACATATTGATTCGGAGTTAGTTTATGATTAAGAGTTTCCATTTTCATGGGGTTTGCTTTCTAGTTTTTCCTAGAGGACTTGAAAAATCGTATTCGTATTTATCTCCAGTTGCAATGTGTCATAGAAAAGGGTAGGCATGCTACTGTCCTTGTTCTGGGAAAAGTTGGTCAAGATGTATTATGGTATATTTCGTCGGAAAAGCTGGTCGAGATGTATTATGGTATATTTTGTCAAGTGTATTGGATAGGTACTAGACTGAATTAAGGAAGAAAAAGAGCCTAAATTTTGGCTTATCATATTGTTAAGTTGTGCCTGCCAAACATAGCTTTACTGCATGATTGGTATGTAGTATTGGACATGACTAGATAATATAAATATAGAAGATTTTAGCTTTTTTCTTCCTTAATACCATACCTTGCCGAACAAGTAATTAATGTATTATATAGTACGTCGAGAAATTACTTCAATTATTCTTGAATCTCGTATTGTAGAACTTATTTGCTCAATAATGTACTTATTCCAAGCCCTTAAATCCAACAGACTTTAACCTGTCATTTATGGGAATTTTGAAGACTGTTGGAAAATATTAATTCAAATAATTATTTTTAAATTTATCCAATATACAGGACAAGACTCGGGAAAAAAATTTGAAAGAACTAGAAAGTAATTCTCACTTGAAAAGCAAAGTGGAAAATGAGATGCAGCAACTGCATTTTGTGTATCGATGCCTCTATTTCGCAGTGATAAAAGATACTTTTTTTCTTAATACCATCTCTGTACATGGTATGTGACCTGAATCTGCCCCTCTATTTGGTTCATAGCTGAATCTATCGGGTCATGTTCTATTTATAATGCACTTGCCATTAAAATTTCCTCCAATTTTACACGGGATTTTCTGCAGAGCAATGTAGATTTTGCATGGGGACTGGTAGTGTGGTGATCGAGCTTGGCGGGGATGAGAAAGAAGTCTCACGGTGCATAAATTGTGACGGTGTTGGTTCTCTAACATGCACGACATGCCAAGGCAGTGGCATTCAACCTCGCTACCTTGACCGCAGGTACATGCTTGGTTCATTAAAAAATTCTTCAACCTTCAAAATGAAATCATACATTACTACAATTGTTTGCTCTCGTGCTCATATAAAGTGAACATCAAGTGATTGATATTACCTCGTCTAAATACGAGGAACTACAAGGATTTGTATGCTAAAGCCACAACTAAACCTTATTCCTGTATACTGGGGGGTCGATTGTATGAATTCTGTTGACCTCAAAAAATGCGTCAAGAGAATCCCGACCACTTCTCCTCCACGAACACTGGAATAACCAGTTAGAAGGTAAAAGCCGGGAAAAACATTAGACGACCCTTTGTACTCTAACGGTCAAGTCAATGGTCGAACAAAAAAAATGAGTGCAAGAGATGGGAGATGGGGTTTGGCTAGGGTTAAAATGAACGTACCTTGTCTGGAAATGAGCTTGTATATATACAGAAATGTAACGGGCTAAGCAGCTTATGTGATATGTTCCGAGCCCAATTTTAGGTTGCACGAGGTTGCTTAAGTTAATAAGTCCAATCCAATTGAATAGTCAATGACACGTCAGCATATACCCCTCCGTTTAAGCATGCCCTGTAATTCATTGGTGTAACATATCCTTCTAGCTTAGGATTCATATAAAATTTGCCAAAGTTTAGATTCACTATCAACGTACTGCAACCCTCGTTTAAAATTTGTTGTTGGACCGGATAATGGTAATTTAAATTACAATGTTGATGTTAATAAAATGCATTCACGGGTTTTTTGTGTCTTCTTCGCTGATGGGAGTATATATTTTCATCGAACAGAGAATTCAAGGATGATGACTGAGAGCTCAACTATACACGGCCACAAATGGAGGACTTGTAACATTGAGTCGAGATTCACATTGTAAACGACTTTTTCATCTTTATTTTTCTATACTCAGATGTCAAATGACTCATTATGCTGATTTCACTGGCATTTACAATGACGTTCATTAGAGATGCACATGGTGTTTGTTCAAGGCATTAAATCGACAAAAAGTTGGGTTTCATATTTTATGGGTCCTTTAGCCATTACGTTGTGAAATCTTTTGTTACACCAACTAAAATAGATCAATTTATTGGTCAGTTCTTTAGGACATTCGAATACAAAATATTAGGTTAATGCTCACAACAGCAAAACTTCTGAACAACAATCTCAATCCCTACGGCCTGGACAGGCAAACAGAAAATCCAACTCTAAACTCTTATCCTCTTTCCAAGCTTTTAAAGAGTCGGTTCAAACGAGGCACCAAGTTGATGGTAGTCGTTGTTTGATTTGGTATAATACCAGATGCATTGTAAACATTGTGAAATCTGATACACTAAATGTTCCAATCTTTGTTAATTGTCACACGTCCTATCATTATTCGTTACATTCTTATCTTCAATCTTTCTACAAATTAACACGTCTAATCCTGCGGTAACTTCTATTCAAATATTCTGTTTACATGCTTTGATAAAAGGGACTACTTTTCAATCGCACTTTTGTATTTATATTGTTTGTTTTTTGTGCCTTTTTTAAAAACAAGAGAAGCTAATTAATGAAATCTCAGCAGTGGCCTTCCTGAGGTCCAAAATTGATAACCTATTATAATGCATTTCCAGTACAACCAAAACTGTGATCAAGTTCTTTCAACAATGCAAGGAGCCTAATTGGCAGGGCAACGTAAACAGCAATTGAACTCTAAACATGAAGTTGTAAATCCACTGAACAATTAGTCAAACATGCTCAAAACCTTTTCTTCTAGAAAGTTCGTTCGGATTTACTTTCTAAAAAGCTAGAATAGTATGTTTGAGTAACTTTGAAACTCATATTTGGCAAAATAATTAGCTTGAAGGCAAGTAAACTTACAGCCAAACACGATTTCAATCACAAACAGTCTTTCAGAAAAAACTAATCAGTCCGGTAGCGAAGCACTATACCTGAATGCTAACTGGCAACGAAATTAATGTAATTCCTAAGCAACTGACACGAGATTAACTAAAATTTAACACAACGCAGCAGAAAAAGCAAGTACTTTAACAAACGAACACTCTCTGCAGTATTTTCCAAGTTGGTGGGCGGGGGATGGGACAGAGCCTGCCTATTCTTTATGAAGCAAAGTATGCTAAACAAATAATGAAAAGAATGAAGAAAGCCGATTGCCCAAAATCTTCCCATCAGCCTAACTAGATTTGGCCTTGGCCACTAATACAATACTGTGAACTAATAAAACAGAAGCTAAAAGTTAAATTTAATGAACATTTGACATAAAATCCCAAGTAGATTATAGACTACATCGTAAAACATTGCCATTACACTCCCGCCACAAAGGTTAAGGCAATACATACCAGCTCTATCTGCGATGGTCTGAAGGCGGAGGTCTTCGATTTCCTCCCCTACCTAAAGCAGAGAATTGGTTACCTGATGGGCCAGGATGACCGTATCCTCGGCCAACACTAGGGTTAACTGGCGGGACCCAGCTACCACCTATATGGTTATAACTCCCACCCACGTAAGGTTGGTGGGCACCTAAATCGCTATATCCACCCTGTTGATAAACATAAGGGCCTGGAGGAAATGGAGCTCGACCCATATCCGGGGCAGGATGTGAAGGGTAACCGCGTCCACCATTTTGTTGCCTACCCTGACGGGTGTATCCATTTTGGGGATGATAATCCCGACCCTGAGGTCGGGTGTACTCATTGCGAGGATAACTATATCTATTATGAGCATTATGTGGAGGAGAAGCAAAGGGTTGTCTATAAGACGTGGAGATTGAAGACCTGTGATGATCTCCAGCATTCCCAGGAGAATATCCTGAAGTACCTTGCACCATTTCGTCACGAGAGTACGGATTTTGGTGGTATGGACGATAGTGCCGGACATAAGCACTGGTATGAGACGGATGCGGCGCATATATTTGATCAGAATGACCGTTTCCATCTGCCCTTACCTGTAAACTATTAGCAACAAGTCGATGTGCAGCTTCTCCAAGATGCCGACCAGAAATGGCTCCATTGGTATTATGATTATGCCTGCAAAGAAAATTCCTACATTGATCCATCCTTTCATATAATCTAAAGCACTGTGCAGAATCAAGTCTTTGATCTACCAACAGTTTTGAAAATTAAGTCAACACACCTTCCATTTTCCATGGGCCTCCTCCCAGAGTCCTCGTGCCAAAGAACAGGCTCTGGTTTTAGATCACCTATTGCCACAATCTGTATACAAAATGGAAGACAATTTAAGATGGACAACAGATTTATGAAGCTACACCTGAAAAATCATTTTAACGTAGCACGCAATGTAGCCAAACTAATCTTGTGCAACTGATTAAGTTTAAACCAGTACAAACATGAAAAGAAAAGGTGAAAAGAATAATATGGAGTTGGAAAGAGAAATTAAAGGTCAAAATATGAACCAGCTTTTTGCACAATTTCTGTATACCTATCAGGCAAATTACACCATTTATGTATTATTGGTACCACCATGGAATCATGCGAACTCCAAAAGGCAAATGCTATATAAGAATTGTAAAATGTTTGGTGCCATTTTCTAGCTAGGTTATCACTCAAGGAATCAGTGTGTTGAGCACAAAACTCCATTAGCCATTGCAGAATTTCCAGTGCTCAAGGCACAGGTAGAAGTTAAAAGAGAGAATAAGACAATTAGTTTGTTGACAAAGAATTAACTGTGACATGAAGGAAAGTGAATGTGTATTACCAGAACGAGCAGAAGGGGGAGGAAACTGTTTCATTGGGAATAATACATCTAAGTTGAATGTTAACTTCAGAATCTCTGTGTGTGTGTGTGTGTGTGTTTCTTACTTCTTAAATTCCTCCTTTTGTGGACTGAGGTTTGTGTTCTCAATCTCAAAATAATAAAGGTTATTCAGGGGCATAATTATATCTCCTGATAACCATCTGAAATTTATCTGACGACAGCAGATTAATAATAGAATGAGATGGAAAATTCACCAGTGAGATTAGAATGTAAAACCAACCAAGGACAATGCAATCTGGCAATTTATTGTTAAAATATAGATTTCATGGTTGTTCTCTTCCACTCTACTTTGTCGAGGGTTCAGGACAATGTACTGTCGCACCATAAGAAAAATAACAACATAGTCTACAACAGCGACAACTTTCGTTTTAAGAAAGCAGGTGATAGCAATATTCTGAAGGGCGAAAATATGAAGTCAACAAGAGGTGCACAGACTTCCCATAGAAGCAAAGATACGAAACAACTTTGTATGGAAATAGGGGTTAAAAACACTATTAGTCACTCAACTTACAAGGAAGTTTCATGTTAAACATGATATATTCCGAAGCGATCGCTGGAGTTGCTTTTTATATGTGTTTGATACAAGTTGAAATCCATTAATTTTGCAACAGACATAGAAAACCCAATGTAATTTAACTAAGTGACCAAACTGAAACATAAGGCAAACTTCAGTGAGAGTTTTGGAACAAAATAATGTTTGGTAAATAACACAAAATTTCGTTATGAGCAGAATGACTACATTTTTTGACCCAAAATCAAATATCATCCTCCAGCTATAAGAATAATAATATTCGAAATTAATACTGAATCATCTTAAGTTACCTTCTCCGGAAAGATGACACCTGGGGGTGGTCGAGTAATATGCTTATGAGCATCTGGAAGCCTATATATTGCACATCTGAAAATGGTAATTAACAGTAAAGGTGAAGATAGAAACAGAAAAAAAAGAGCAGCTTCACGTCAATGGCAATTTCAATTAATCCAAGGGAAGGTTTTCTTCCAAAGTCCAGATGCTTACACAACTTGATTATCCATAATGTCTTCCATCCCTTGAACAGGAGATCTGAAAATTGGAGGGCAAGGATCCCCAGCACAAAGGGAAATATAGCCATGCATCCCACCACTGCAGTAAATGAAGTAAAATCAGGGGGAAAAAAAAGGATTGAACTTAATGGGTCTCAAATTCATTTCAATAGCCATTTAGTTACAACTGCAAGAGGGGATTAGTTCAACATTTTCAACCTTGTGGCCAGCCATAGTGCATGCAGACAGGCAAGCACACGCACAAAAATGTTCCACTTACAGCTTCCAAATAGGACAGAACACAATTTGTGAGTTGAACCCACAATCAACTTGAGCAAGAGAAATTGATTCCCATTTTCCAACAATTCTTAATGAAAACTGAAAGATATATGCAAATGTAAACAACAATATTTTTGTACTAGTAACATCCCAAAATGTTTCAGTTTCTGTTATATATATATTTACTTAATCTTCACCTTGTTTTATCATGTTCCCTACTTTATTAAACATTCTTAAATGTCAAATTTAGGGTAAGTGGTATACATGCACCTGAAATTAATTCTTCCATACTATAACTATTGAGTAGGGCATGTTAGAGAAGGCTGTGTGCATTGGCACTTCTGTATTCCAACAAATTGAATACAAGTTCAAAGCCAACCAAATATCTGAACAGAGTTACTCTGCAGTACAACTACATGCCCATGTGGAAAGAAGGGAACAAAGCTCTTATGATGATATGCTTCTACAAAATGAGAAAAGGGCAATAGTAAAATTTCTTTCAAATTAGGTAATTTTGAAAAAAAAAAAAAAAATCCACTATGCTCATAAAGTTGTAAGAAGGCTCTAGTATAGATAGATAGAAGGGTCACCTTATCTCACTTTGAGCTACAGAATATGAGAATAGGTCATCGCTACATTTTCTTGTCAATTTGGTAATTTAGGCCTTCTTTTGTATACATTATGTTTTTCATTCTCATTCTTCTACTCATTTTCAACCACACATTCTATAATAAAATAATATTTATCACATCAATAACTTTTCCTTCATTTTTAACCACACATTCTCCATCAATCTACTATTCAATAATACATTCTTTCAAAAGAATGCGTCCCAAACACACACTTAAGAAAATTTTCCACTACCCATATAAATGTATAATCAGATCAGCTTATTAAAAATCGATTTATTTTCTTTGAATCCTGTTTTTTTATTTTATTTAGGTTTTTTTTTTTTTTT